GGGAAAGAATAAAAATTTTAATCGTGATTAATCGCAAAGTAATTTTTGAGATTAATTGCGATTAATTGCACTATTATAGGTTATATAGGTGTTATATAGGTGTAAAGGTTTAATACATTTTCAAAAATGGCCCTTTTTAACAGCAGTGTTCTCTGACTGCACAATCTTGAATCTTATAAATTGTGAGAGAGGCTAAGTAATTTTAAGAACCAATGCAGACATGTTCCTGTTCCTGTCTTCTAAACCGCCTCGTAACCTAGCTGTCTTTTTGCTACGTTTCCTTTTAATTATCCCTTTAATTATCATTTTGTTTTAATTGTAAAAAAAAACAAAAACAAAAAAAAAACTTAAATTTGTATGCATCATTTGTGATTGTCCATTCTTGTAAATGAGTCCTCATGGCTCAATGGGACTCTGTTTAAACAAATGTTGAATAAGAGAGAAACCCTGAGTCACTGTTAAATTATGAGCAAAAATCGATTTTTGACAATAAAAATGGCATGTCTAAGGGTTGAAATGTCTTTCCATGTTACATTTTTTAATATAACAAAGTTATATACGGTAATAGCCAAACAAATAAAATAATATATGTTCTCACTTTTATATGTATACGTTTACTTCCTCACACATCATTGCTCTGTTTGTGCTCTCTCCTCCCACAGCTTATCTCACTCTCTTTTTGTTTCCCCACTTCATTCCATTTTTCCACGTCTTTATTCTCTCACATCTGTTTGTCATAAACCTTCGCAATGAGGATTTTTAAAAATTTAATTTCTCAAACACAATCAGGTTTGATACTACAATGGCTCCACTGGTATTCTCAGACCAGTACTTACAGCTTTCTGCTAAGCTTCCATCCCATAATATTTACGGCCTGGGGGAGCATGTGCACACAAGATATCGTCATGACACAAACTGGAGAAACTGGCCCATTTTTACCAGAGATGCTCAACCTAATGGGGTAAATTACAAACACATCACAACAAACACACACATGCACACAGACTGAATATGGATAAATAATGTATTTCCTGCTGCTAAAAGTTAAAGGGTGATAATGTTTTGCCTGTAGATGTCTGTGTGTGATGTTGTCTGCATTTATATATTTATGTATTTGCATGTGTCCAGCACTTTTTTTAATGAACCATTGGACATAAAGAAATTCTTTAAGTAATATTTTTAATGCGTCAACAAATTATTAACTTCTGAAAGCAACTCAGTTGAAGATGGTCACCACACCTGATCTTAGCAGACACAAACATAATCAATCAGTTTTACAGATATTCAGGTATAATTTGGTGTTTTGGTAGCTGAAAGTTATTTATAACATACTTTTAGTGTGACATCTTTGCTTACATCCTAATCTTTGGATGCACATCTATTGTTGAGTAAATTCTGGAATTAGGACATTTCAAGAAATCTAACAAAACTATTTAGCCTGAGCAACACAAATATGGTTATAACTTTGCTATAACTCAAATTTACCTGCGCTGAGCTAAAGTCTGATGGGGTTGTAGCTGAGCGATGCTAAACACATTCTCTAAGCAGAAACGTTATTGAAATATTGCAAAAGTTCAGGTTATGATTATCCTATAGTATGTCGAACATGGCTATAACTCCAGCCCTTTTTAAAAATAAGATGCTTTTAGTTTTAAACTCTGGAGGGTAATATGCATTCCTTAAAGGAATGCTCTTTAATCACTGTTTGTGGTCTCTGCACAGATATATTCTACTTACAGGATTTCTTATTGTCTCATGAGCTTATTAGGCTGAATTACTGTAAATCTCAGCTCTTCCCTACATCTTTTTGTCACATTGTCCCTCCCAGGGTAGACATAACCTCTATGGACACCATCCCTTCTTCCTCTGTCTGGAAGACGAGAGTGGGAAGTCATTTGGGGTTTTCCTCTTGAACAGCAATGCTATGGGTAAAGATAAACTCGCATATTTACTATGTTCATATACAGTATGCAAAAACACAAATGCAGCTGTGTCTCAAGTCTAATTCATTAAATCAACATATTATGGTCATGGTATGCTGTAAAATTAGGCATAAACATTTTGAAATGCTAATTTTCAGCCACCAGTTTAATTCAAACTAAAGCTTTTGATTCTTTCAAACGAACAAAATGCACTGAGCAGAATCACATTAACAATTATGATGTTTGGGTAGTGTTAACATTTATTTTTCTCTTTTTTATGTTTTAGAGGTGACTCTGCAGCCCGCTCCAGCTGTGACCTACAGGACCGTGGGAGGTATCTTTGACTTCTACATTGTCTTTGGAGACACACCAGAACAAGTGGTGCAAGAGTACCTGGAGGTGATTTATTTAAGATCCAAAGTCACTGGTCTGTGATAGTTACTGTCTGACAAAGAAACAGCACTGATATTCTGACTAGTTTTGTTCTCTAGCTCATCGGCAGACCTGTCATTCCTCCCTACTGGTCCCTGGGGTTCCAGCTGTCTCGGTGGAACTATGGGACTCTGAGCAACGTAAAGGAAGTAGTGGAGAGGAACCGTGCTGTGGGCCTTCCTTATGTAAGATTGCTTGCTTGACCCCCCCCCCCCCCCCACCCATATCTAAATCCATTGTATCTGACAATGTTTTGCCTTCTCCTACCTCAGTGATTTCCCCGACACACACATTTCATAATATTTAACAAGTTGGTTTATGAAAATGTTCACAGAAATTATCCACTGCATTGTGTTATGCAATATGATACCAAGTATATCAATGTGATCCATGCATGATATGATGAAATATGATAAGATACAGGCTGTGTCTTGTAATACACACTCACATGTTTATTATACTCTGGATCTCAGCTCTAAAGAATGATCATAACAATTCAAAATTTGTTTTCACTCTTTTAACAATCTCAGTACAGTTAAATCATTCTCAACACGTTAGATGTGATGAAAAGTGTAAGTTGGTGATTAAATTAAACTCATATTCTTTGAAGGAATGAAAATCGCTCGCCACTTGGATGTCAAAGTACTGAATAAAAATTTTGCAAGACCTGTTAGTGCTCACATCGTGCATTAGAAACAATGGTCAGCCACCACCACTCCAAATATTAACATAGTTTCTGTAAAACTGACTGAATTGTAGCCATTATTATTATTGTGGCAGCCATGTTGAATCAAGATGACTTCAGAGGATAATCAGTGGTAGATGTTCATCCAATCATTACTTTCAGAGACTTTAATTAAACTCTATCCAGTGGTGCATGAGATATTTTGCTTACACCACAGACAAATGAACACATGCACACAAGCAATTCTTTGATTGTCCAACTTTCAAGATGGTGGGCGACAAAGACCTAGTTTCACATTAGTGTCCATTATATTATCATTATTTTTCTTTATGCATTTTAATGTCCCACTGTCTGAATAAATAACAAAACATAATAATTGCTGCCTTTCCTTTCCAAATGGAAATTTGAAGCACTTATTCTTTACTGTATGTCTCTAAATTCCAGACACTGAACCACTTTAGTCTCTCTGAGGATGTGACATGATGCCTGAGGCAGGACTTCTACAGAAACAGAGTCCAAAGTCACATTTTGTCATAGAAGGAGATGAACTTGTTAAAATTACTACAGTTCTGCTGAGGGTTTTGCAGCACAATTGTAGTTTTACACTGAGAATCGCCTTTTCAAAGGTTAAACAGAAGACTAACATTTAAACTTTGACACAAGCAAATTATTTGCTTCAACTGAGAATGAGTCACATAATGCCAAAAAAAAAAAAAAAACATCATGCTGCACAAGTCCAGTTCTATGTGAGTGATACAGAAAGAAAAACATTAAAGTTTACATTGAAAAAACATATTATGAGCAGTTTATAGCTCATTGTATTCCTGCAGAATAAAAACTTGCAAGCCAACATTTCTGTGTATTGTTTGATTCTTTAATAACATCTAGTCCAAATGAACTAATATGTGTTCTGATGGTCATAATGCAGTAAAACAAAAGATAAAATGTAGATTTTTTGTCTTAAATTGCAATATATATATATTGTATATTTTAATATAGTGCAGAAACACCAGTGTTCTTCTCCACACACAGGATATTCAGTACACCGACATTGACTACATGGAGCACATGAAAGACTTCACCTACGACAGGAACAGGTTCAGAGAACTGCCTCAGTTTGCTGAATACCTGCATGAGAAGGGACAGAGGTACATCCTTATCCTGGTGAGAAGCTTTTTACAGTTCAGAAAACAATGTGGACATTAGACACAGCCAAACATCCATGTGCAGATACAAAGCTGACACATGTCACTTTTCAATTTAAGACTTGAATCATGACTGTTTCTTTGAAAGAGTCTTTATTTTAAAATAATTGTCTATTAGCTGTAATGATGCTTGACTATTTATGTATATTTTTAAATACATGCACTTGTCCTCTTAAATAACTAAAATGGAAGGAAAAGTCCAGCTTCACATGTTTATAAGAAGCGACAGTTCAAGTATTAGTTTCAACACGAACCTGAGAACGTTGCAAGGTCGTTTTAAAAAGAACATAAATGATCGTTTGCTCCTTTTCTATTTCTGTCTACCAGTTCTTTTAATGCATGCATTCCTTTTTGTCCTCAGGATCCTGCAATAGCCACCAGTAAGAGGGAGGGGGGCGCGCCATACGAGTCCTACGACCGCGGGACTGAGAAGAACGTTTGGGTCACAGAGTCAGATGGGAAAACTCCAGTGATAGGACGGGTGAGCTGCAGCTGAGATGCAAACAGAGTTGATCTCTGCAGAGCTCAAAATGAGTTTTCCAAAAGACGGTCTTAAGAAACTTTAGCTTAATACCCAACAATGTTCAGTCAGGTCATCTGGACAGTTTCCTTTAGTTGCCGAGATGTTTCGTCCTTCATCCAAAGGATTTCTTCAATTTGAGGAGCCACCAAAACAAGCTGATTCCCACAAACAGCATACTCCATAGTGGGAAAAAAACAGTTTGCTGGTGCTAAGATGGCCTCCGAGGCCTGCCCTCTTCCCCGTCAACTCCTCTGAGAAAGTCAAGCCAAAGTCGTTCAAAACACCAAAGTGCATGCTCAGTAATCCAGGTAGAAATCCAACTGAACATCTGACTGAACATTGTTGGATTTCTACCTGGATTACTGAGCATGAACTTTGGTGTTTAGCTTAATATATTTTAAAACACGTGTCCCTGAGATGGACTAATGACCCTGTCCATGATGTACCCTGCCTTCCACACATTGACTGCAGGAGATAGACACCCCCCATGTCCCTGAACCGAAAAAGAAGATGAATGGACGGATAATTACATGCTATCATGGAAATTTTTTTGAATATGCTTAAAATGATTACTTATGCAGACAGCCAACACAAGATTAAAGACGATAGCTGTAGGTTTGGGTAGATACAAAATAAAAGAACTAGAATGTATGAGCATCAAAAACTCCATTCAAGCTTGAAGAACCTCCAAAATGTATAATAAAAGATGTCATTAGAGGCTCACATAATGGAGCCAAATCATTTGTTTTATCCAAGAGCATTTTAAATGTTTCTAATGATGATGATTGTTTCCTCTACCCCCCTCCCAGGTTTGGCCCGGGGAGACTGTATTTCCAGACTACACCAGCCAAAACTGCAGCGACTGGTGGGTTGACGAGTACGAACGATTCTACAAGGAGATCAAACACGATGCTCTCTGGATCGTAAGTCAGTTTAAAAAATACACGAAGGAAACTCAGTAATTACTCATAGCCACAGATTCTAATCTTTTGCTACTTTAAGAGAAAATGCAAACACACACACAGAGTATAGACATTTCCGACATTTTCTAAAAAAGCACAAAGGCCTCACACAAATCCAGATGGATTAACAACTTAAATTTCAGTTCAGGTTAAAACTAGTTTCTGCAACAAACCCATAATACACACAATGTCCACCTCAGCCTCTTCTCAAGGACTTTGTTTAATCGACAACACTTTCACATTATTAAACACTTGTTGGATGTGCCCAACAAAGTTAAGTCAAGCCATCTGGATGGTTTCTTGTCTTTTTGTTGAGACGTTTCATCCTTCATCCAAAGGACTTCATCAGTCCGAGGAGCCACAACAAACTCAGTCCCACATAGCACACTCACATAGTGAACCAGCCAGTTTGATGGTGATAAGATGGTTTCTGGAGTCCGCCTTCTCCCCCATCAACTCCTCTGAGGCAGACATAGTCAAAGTGGTTCAAAACATCAAAGTTCATGTTCAGTAATATGACATAATAATAATATGTGAGTGTGCTGCTTGTGGGACTGAGTTTGTTTGTGGCTCCTCAGACTGATGAAGTTCTTTGGATGAAGGACGAAACGTCTCAACAAAGAAAATAAACCGTCCAGATGACCTGACTTAACTTTGTTGGATTTTTTTCCTGGATTATTGAGCATGAACTTTAAATGTTGTTGGATGTGTTCTTTTCAGCTCGTTACTTTAATATCCTGCACCAGAAACTGTTGTGACCAAAGCCATTTTGTAAATTGTGTTTTTGCACATTTCAGGACATGAACGAGGTGGCGAATTTCCTCAAAGGATCAAAACATGGGTGTGATGATAACAACCTGAACTACCCACCTTACACCCCGAGTGAGATGCTTTTTCTTTGTCTTAGAGTCTCATTTTGCTCTAAATCCTGAGAAATATCAGATCTTTTGCATTTTGAAACGCACAATACTTAAACTGAATGTCCTCCTTGTCTAAATGTCCTCACTTTCTTCAGTGTAAATAAAATATCTCATTTTCTTTGCCCTCCATTTTGTCCCTACTCTTAACTCCACTGACAGTTCTGCTTTCACCTCAGTTCTCTGGTACTCCATCTCCTCATTCCTTTATCTTTTTTCTCATGTAGAGATTCTGAATGACTTGATGTACAGTATGACCCTTTGCATGGACGCCAAGCAGGCCTGGGGGAACCATTATGACGTGCACAGTCTGTACGGCTATTCTATGGTGCTGGCTACTGAGAAGTGAGTGCATGAAATCAGCGACAGTCGAAGTTTGGTTAGCTTTCTATGTCGGCTGACACCCTGCTATACCTCAGAGCAACGAGGCGTTGGCAAACTCAGAGTGAAGTGTGCAATGTTGCAACAAACACAAAGATCAAAATCTAGTTTTTGAAGTTTTAGGTTGTTGAACAGTATCCTAAAAAATGTTTATGAATTCCATTGCCCTGCAGTGAATTAAGTCTTGATCAAAACCATAAAATTTGACAGTAAGTTACTGAAACCCAGTTTGCAGGATTATAATCTACATAAAGTGAAAACTCATGTTTTATTCATGTCTGTCAGCATGCAGAGATGCAAACCTGATGACAGACGACAGCTCATTTATGCTCCTCTCACTTCAAACATATTTCCGTGTTTATTATGAAGTCAAACACTTTTTTATTTATTTTGCGTTTAATTTAAGCTAATCGGTGCTCACTAAAGTGACATTATTAAATGTAAGTTTGACATGCCTCTGCTAGGAATGTGAAACGTAACCAGTATGTATTAATACAAGAAACAGCACAAGTACAGCAGAGTGGATCATGAATTGTCATTTTTGGAATGAAAATGGGAATTTCTTTAATCTATGGATGAAAAGTGTGATACGTTTCATTAATAAAAGTTTGCTGCCAGGTTTTTCTTTCCAAAAACATTTTTGTTTCCCTTATTTCTGAGAAAATTGTTTTATTCAGTTAATTTTTAAATTCCTTATATGAATTTGTGTACTGTCCTATCTTTTGTTTACTTTAACCTATTTTTAATATATACTTTTTATTTATTTAACCTCTTGTTCTGTCATGTTACCACTCCATCCCACAGAGCCCTGCAGCGTGTGTTTGGATCCAACCGGACCATGATGCTTACGCGTTCCTCCTTTCCAGGTGTGGGAAAATATGCAGGACATTGGTTGGGGGACAATGCTGCCACCTGGAATGACTTAAAATGGGCCATACATGGCATGCTGGAGTTTGGGCTTTTTGGAGTACCTTATGTAAGTATCAAACTCTTTAAATGAGTACATGCACAGTACTCGTGTAGTTTATAGCTTCACACCTAAAGCAGAAGTGTGCAAAACAATATAAAAACAAACAAAACAATAAAAGCTGCCACAGTAGGGTTTAGCTAACCAGATTAAAACTCTTCCTTTTTTGGTTTATACAAATTAACTTTTAATTATCAAAATATAGCCGTGTTAATATGATAATGTTTGCATCCAAGATCAGTTCTGTAAATAATGTACATATAAATGGTTCAGTCAGATGTAATTCAGATCACTGTTCTGATCTAAAAGGAAATAAACATGACATTTGACTGAAACTTTTTTCAGTAAAATATCTGGCAGAGTACTATGATAGATACTACATTCAGTGAAACTTTTTGTTTTTCCTTCACTGCACAAAGTGCAACAAGAGCAAAAACAAAATGTAAGGAACTGCGAGCACCTATAGTGCTCACACACCTCCAACTGTGCAGGAGTATAGTTAGCATCACATATTTTAATGTGTTTTATATTTGGAACTTCCTAATTTTCAATAAATCATCTGGAATGGCCCCCTTGGACTACTTAAATGTATATTTATGGCTAGGAGAAACTTAAAATTTTATTATTGCAAACATGAAATCCACAGAATTTCTTTAAGTTTGTCCAAAGGCATTTAATTCTAATAAGATAAGATAAGATAAGGTTTGAAAAGTTTGATGTGTTTTCATTACAATGTAATTAAGATTGGTAAATAAAGTACAGGTTCTGTTAAATTGTTTACCTGTAATTCCTTCATGTATCTAAGGTAGGCGCTGATGTTTGCGGATTCTTTGAAAACTCAAGTGAAGAGTTGTGTCGCCGCTGGATGCAGGTGGGCGCCTTCTATCCCTTCAGTAGAAACCACAACGCTCTGGGCTTTCAGGTACTGTAAAGACATTTTATTCTACAAATCTTGTAATAAACTGAGAGTCGGTTTTAGAATTATGTTTCGCAGGCTTTCATTGTTTAGTCTTAGTGCTGCAGGGTACACTTTTTTTTTTTTTTAACCAGCACTATAAATTAACAAATCTTTGCTAAGGCCCTGGCAGCACGGTGGCACAACTGGTAGAGCTGCTGCCTCTCAGCGAGCAGGTCCCTGGTTCAAACCCCGGTCCAGGGGCCTTTCTGGGTGGAGTTTGCATGTTCTCTCCGTGCATGCGTGGGTTTTCTCCGGGTACTCCGGTTTCCTCCCACAGACCAAAAACATGCATGTTAGGCTGATTGGTAACTCTAAATTGTCCCTAGGTGTGAGTGAGAACGTGAATGGTTGTTTGTCTCGTTTGTCTCTATGTGGCCCTGTGATGGACTTGCGACCCGTCCAGGGTGTACCCCGCCCCTCGCACAGTGATTGCTGGACATGGGCACCAGCGACCCCCGTGACCCAAAATGGAACAAGCGGGTAAAGAAAATGGATGGATGGATGCTAAGGCCCTGCTGAAACTTCAGATTTTAGGCTGAAAACTAGAAATAGAAATCTCAAAACACCACAGCTGCTTTTAGGGGTTAAGCGTATGATCCTAAACATCATTTTTCAGTCAGGTCACCTGACTGAAAAATGATGGGTTGTATACCTGGATTATTGAGCATGGACTTTGTCGTATGACCCTAATTTCAAATGAAGCACCAAATTAATGTTTAACAATTTAACGCACAATGATTACATTTACCGGTAAAGCAAAATAATGTCTAAATGTGGTGTAAAATAGGAGCAGCATGAATTCTGAGTTTAGATTTAAAACAATAAAAACATTGAAACTAATGACGTTGTTAAAGTGTTGGAGAAATTCTTTTGTTCTCTGATGTTTACTCGAAAGAACCACAACTTACGGCAGGTGAAGATTTATATCTGGCAATATTCTTGCAAGGTCGAATTTCAGGACAAGTTTCATACATAAACATACATAATGTATACGCATGAAGACCAGTCTTAGAAAAGAGCTGTGAGCCGCATTATCTGCTCGCTTTTATAACATTATCAGCTCAACAGAGTTCAGCATAGTTCAGTGGGGTGTCCTTGAAGCCAACTGCAGTCTTCTTACACAGCACTCTTTGTTTGCACAAACATATGGTTCATGGGCAACTAAGAGAAATCCTTCAGTTCAAGATAAGAGAGTGTTTTGGGAGATGGTTCAGCTGCTTTGGGAGGCAACTGAGCTCCTTGTTCTCAGGGCAGAGTGGGGAAATGTGAAGAAGACAAAGGAGACGATTGTGGACTTCAGAAGGAACAAAATCACCCTACACCCCCCCCCCCCCCCCCGAACATAAAAGGATCTGCTGTGGAAGGGGTCTCCAGCTACAAGTACTTGAGTGTACACATGAATGACAACATCAGCTGGAGCAACAACACCACCAGCCTGATCAAGAAAGCTCATCAGAGACTCTACTTCCTCAGACGGCTGAGGCGAGCTGGTCTGGGAAGCTCAGTCCTCACCTCCTTCTACAGGTGTGCAGTGGAGAGTATCCTGTGCTCCAGCATCAACGTGTGGCATGGAGTCTGCACAGCTGCAGAAAGAAAAGCTTTACAGAGAGTGATGAAGGCTGCACAGAAGACTGTTGGAAGTCTCCCCACCATCACAGACATCTACACCTCTAGATGCAGAAAGAGAGCCACCTGCATCATGAAGGACCACACTTACCCAGCATACACACTTTTTGCCCCGTTCCCCTCAGGAAGGAGGTACTGTGAAAAAAATCACATCATGTTGCTGCTGATCTGTTTCATGTTGCTGCTGATCTGTTTCATGTTGATGTGTTCCTGCGTGCTCATCTGCTCACAGACTCATGTTCATGTTTGTGCTGATATTCAATGTTTTATGTTATGAGTGCTTAGTGTATATTTAGTTGATGTTTTTCTTAGTTCATATCTTAGATGTTATTACTATTTTTCTTTTACATTTTATTGTTGGATGTAACAGGGACTCTGTGTACATAATTTCGCTCCACCACATGTACCACATGAGGTGCGAATGACAATAAAGAAACTCTGACTCTGAAAATATTCTCTGCCACAATAATAGAAACCTCCATAACCTTTGACCAAAACCTCCCTGACCTGCAGCCTCATAAACAAACCTGAAAGTAATACGATGTGTTGGGACAAGTGGTGAACAATTAAATCTCATCCACTTTTGTACACAGATTTTTCTCATGTAAAGTTGATTTCTGTTTTGTTTGTTATGACTGAAATTAAAGTCATTCATTTAAAACTTTTATCATCTAAAAAAAAAATAATAATTTTTCCTCCCTCTTTTGGTTTCCTGTCCCAGTTTTCTCATTTCTCTGTTCAATTTTCTTCCATATCTTTAAAAAAAAAGTTTAGTTGTGTTTGTTTCTCAGTAAATTGAAAAAAAAAAAAAAAAAAAAAACTTTTTTTAATTTTTAATTAAAAAAAATTTTTTTTTGCCTTCTTTCGTATTTTCTTGTTTCATCCCTAAAACTCACACAAATTTTTATTTTTTTCTGTCTCTAGCCTCAGGATCCAGCTGCATATGGCGCTGACTCACTGCTGGTGCAGAGCTCCAAACGTTACCTGATGATTCGCTACACCCTCCTGCCATACCTCTACACACTGTTTTACAAAGCTCACACTGCAGGGGACACTGTTGTACGCCCAGTTTTACATGAGTAAGTCTTTTTTAAAATTTAGTCTTTAAGATCCCTTCATATAAATTATGAAGCACTAATAATGTTTAAATTGCTCAAATTATATTTTTATGACGTACTGTTTTTGTAAAATGTCTTCTGCAGGAAACTAAATTTAAACAAATAAATTACGTACAACCCCACATGCATCAGTTAATAAGGTTTTATCCTTATTCATTCACCAACATTTTTTAAAATTATTTTGAAGTTGTCAAAATAATTGATTTCCTTACAAATCTTCCATAATTTTAAACTTTTTCTTATCCTTTGGTTAATCTTTTTTATGAAGTGGTTGCAGCATTTGTCTGGAGCATCGGGGAAAGTTCCTAGAAAAGTCCCAGTTTTTAACAAAGTGGGTCCTAAACGCTGCTAATATGGAAGAAAATTATAAATATTTGTGTAGCATGGGCAAGATTTCAAAGTTTAAAAAGAAATCATTAAAAGGAGTCTAAAGATAAAAAATTTTCATTGTTTCAAAGTTTTAATTAGGGAAGTTAAGATGTAATACTGCCAATTAAATCAGAGTAAAGATGTTTTAAGTACATTCTGGGGCCTTTTTTTTCCATAGCAATGCATTTTATTACAGTACCTATAAGAATCAAACATTTCTGAGTTTAGCAGCAGCTAGTTTAAAGTAGCTAAAATGAAGCACTAGTGAGGATTATTTTGATGAAATGTTCCACAAGTTAAAAATATTGCTCTGCTCTAAAAAAAAAAAAAAAAACCCAAAAAAACCACACAGCAAGAATGTCAGCTACATTCATTGAGTCACTGTGAGCAAGATGACCCAAAATTGTAGACTGGAACACAGAAAAAGTGAATAAGGAAGGACTTTAATGAATAAATAAGAGGTTGACAGAAAAAAAAAAAAAACATTTCCAAGAAAGGTCTAAGCTCAGAAGCACTGGATGCTGCAACCAGAAGTAACCAGTGTGATGGAAAAGTGAGTGTAAAGCTGGATGGAAGGGGTGATGACTAAATGAGTGCAGCTGAGACTAATGAGCAGATGAAGAGCAGGCGTGCATGATGAACTGAAGTCATGACACAGAGACAAGCAAGCAAAATGAAAATGTACTGAATGCATCAAGATGTAAATAAAATAAAAAGAAACGACTGAAGAAATAAACCCCCCACACATCATGACTGATAAATGTGAACAATTAGCACTGAACACCATGAAGTCTCAGTTTCAATCGATCCAGGCAACACTGAAGTTAACGATAGGTGAAAATGTAGCAGAAGATGCAATAAAGTTGAACAAAATAAACAAGTGATTTCTATATAAGTGCCTTTTATATTCATCTTTAGAGAAGAGTCTTCTTGAAGTTGTCAGCCAAGTCCCAATGACTTTTGTTTTTATTGTAAGAACAATAAAAATAATCATTTAATGTTTTTTTGTCTCATAAGGTTTTACTCGGACCAAGCTACCTGGGATGTGGACCTCCAGTTTCTCTGGGGAAAACACCTGCTCATCACACCAGTGCTGGATCAGGTCAGCAAACACAGAACACTAGAAAAGCATAAATATAATATTTGATGTAAAATGATCTCCTCCTATTTAATGTAAACTTATTTTGTCTTGTGATGGCTGTGTTTAGTATTTCATTCAGATTTAAATGACTAAAATATGACACTTTTTTTAACAACATGATTTGCATTAAAAATAGATGTATCTCTTAACCTTTATCCTACACATGTACTTGACGACTGTCAGCATTATTATCATCAGTTATGGGACCATTTGTTAAAACATAAAGGGTTTAACTCATTTCATTTATTATCCTCTCTTCTTATGTTTAGCCTGGTAAGATTAAAGTGCCAGGGTTGTAAAGTGAGCAGAATTTAACATTTTTAATCACAAATGCAAGTACTATTTATAGGAAGCTGACATCTTTCATTGTCTACGTCACAAAGCAGTGATGAAATGATATACCTTTTTCCATAAAAGCAAAAAAATATATATCTTGTTTTTGCCAGGGTGCGGACAGAGTCCGGGCATATATTCCAGATGCCGTGTGGTACGACTATGAGACGGTAAACGTGCTTCCATTCTCCACCATCTTTCTTTTATGCGTATCATCTATGGAAGAACCCTTTATTTTAATGCTCACACTCATAAACAGCTCAGCGAGGGTAAAAGTTTTATTGATTAAACTGGTTATTTTGATTCATTAATTAGATGGAGCGACTTTTGGATCGCAAAAATCATGTTGAAATGTACCTACCTGGAGATAAACTGGGATTACACATCCGAGGGGGGGCCATCCTCCCCACACAGAGACCTGAGGTCACCACCACACACAGGTACTCACATGCAGCACCGATACCTGATGCTTGTGTGTGCACACAAAAAAGCCAAATATAGAACCATAAATACATCATGTCCAACATTTCATATTTTATATGTTTATTAGTCATTATTTCTCTGCACTTTGACACTTTTCTAGTCGTCGAAACCCCATGGGATTGCTCGTTGCACTTGATGATAACAACCAGGCTGCCGGGGAGCTTTTCTGGGATGATGGGGATTCTCGAGGTAATGCTTCTCCTCTCAGTTCAATAAAATGTGTTTATATAGTATTATTACCACTGATTACAGTCAGTGTTTTTTAAATATATATATATCGTGCAGTGGAAGCTATTTTCTATTTGAGCTCAGAGTTGCACAAGCCAGTTTAGGTTTTCAAATGATGTAAAGCAAGGTTAACAAGTGGAAGTCCATCACTGATGTTTGAGTGCAAATATGACACAAAACATCATCTTCGTCTGCTGTTATTTTTTAACAGACACGGTCAAAAATGGCAATTTCATCCACTACAAGTTCTCTGTCGACAATGTAAGTTTTCCTCATGTTCACTTAAATCATTTCTTTAACTGCATACTTTCCATGATTGGGGCTCAAATTCAAAGTAGAAAAACACTGAGTTGTTAGGTTTTTTATTTTAGTCACTCAGCGTGATTGATCTGTTTTGTGCTGCAAAGGTTTTGTTGGATCAAGTAAATAAATGTACAGTACTTTGTGTAGGATTACTTTAATGTAGAGGGCATACATATAGGAAGTTTGTTGTAAAAGTTGTTTAATGGATTTCTTTAGTTTTACACACAGTTTCCTCCATTATCTTTAACAAATGCATTTTTTATGTAGAATTGAACGTTTGAAATTATGTTGTGTTTTTGTTGCATTTAAATTCCCACTTTGTGTGTCTGCCACCCTGCAGGGAATATTGAACATGCAGGTGACCAGTGCTGGTTATAGAGACCCGAACAACCTCAGGTTTGAGAACATCACGGTCCTCGGCATGCCTTATCCTCCCACGTCAGTTTCTGTGACTCATGTTGATGCAGAGACAACCACCGTCCTGCCAAACATCAACATACACCACGATGGAGCCAAGGAGGTAATGCTTATAATGTAACATTTCATAGAGAAAAAATTGCATGTAATAACGATGATGCATTAGTTAACGTCACTGTTCTCCCTAACTACTAAACCACTCGAGCTATTCTTGTGTTCAATTTTATGTGAAATGTGCCACATCTGTTATAGTTCAGCCATTTTACAGATTAGTTTTGCAGAGTCAAGTGAAAGTTATTTATAAAGCACATTTAAAACAGCAGCTGTTACCAAAGTGCTTAACAATAAGGCAGTAAATACAAATAAGATGTAATTAAAAGCATCAAGAATAAAAACATAAAAACACACAAAAAAAAGAGAAACAATGAAATAGTAAATCAAATCCCGCTGTGTGAATCGTCAGTGGATACAGGTGCGTTTTAAGGAGAGATTTAAAAACAGGGAGAAGAGGCCTGTCTAATGTTCAATTCAGTTCAGTTTATTTGTGCCAATTCACAATAAACGTCTCAGGGCGCTGTACAGAAACATTCACGTATATAGAAAAGCCAATTAGTAAAGTTTTCTATGTAAGGAATAGTTAATGCAGATTGTTCCAAATTTTAGGACCAATGACTGAAAAAGCCAAATCTCCTCTGAGCTTCAGCCTGGTTTTAGGTACAACCAAAAGCAGCTGGTCACATGATCTCAGTGCCCAAGAAGGAACATAAGGTCGTTAAGGCTTAATTTGTAAACCGATCGATGCCGGAACGCATTTATACTTTTGAATGAAGTAGCTGCAATTTCCTGCACTTTGGTGTATTTTAACAGGTTGTTAAACATTTGCGATTGCTGGAACGCACCCTGTCAAAATCAAAGAGTTCCCGGATATTATTCCGGCAGGATTTGGCTCAATTTAAGCCCTGGTTAAAATATCAGAGAGGTATGAGGGTGCAAGGCCATTAAAGCACTTAAATGTCAACAGGAGAATCTTAAAATCAATCCGGACACGCACAGAGAGCCAGTGAAGGGAGGATAAAACCGGTGAAATGTGCTCAAACATATGAGTTCCTGTTAAGAGCTGAGCTTCAGCATTTTGGACGAGCTGGAGATGTGAAAGGGACACCTGACTGACCCCAATATAAAGCACATTACAGTAGTCTAGCCGGGTTGTAACGAATGTATGGACCATTGTCTCAAGTTCAGATCTGGTCAACATGGACTTAACATTAGCTATCTATCAGCTATCACTATCTGGCTTGGATGTGTGCTGAACCCATGAGCAGGATGGCAACAGGAGACTCCAGATAAAATCAGAAACTAAAGTTTATTGTAAATAAACAAAACGACATGCAAATGGGGAAGCTAATTTACTTTATGGAGAACATAGAGGGAGACAGATCACAATAGCCGTTGGAAGGACAATCCAGAGACAAATGACAAGACACAAGGAAGCTGAATAAATAGAGACACTGATGAGGAGGAATGACAAACACCTGTGGTGATTGGGATTAGACACAGATGAGACAAGAGCTGAACCCAGTTGACTATTGCAATGGTTTATTATCTGGGTGTATAAATACATGTATTTCTTGAAAAAGTCTTCAGTTGATCCAAAATGCTGCTGCCAGAGTCTTAACTGGAGTTAGTAGGAGAGATCATATCTCTCTGGTTTTAGCTTCTCTCCGTTGGCTCCCTAAGTCCAGAATTGAATTCAAAATCTTACTTCTAACCTACAAATCCCTCAACAACCTAGCCCAATCTTATATCCATCCATCCATCCATTGTCTTTACCCGCTTATTCCATTTTGGGTCACGGGGGTCGCCGGTGCCCATGTCCAGCAATCACTGTGCGAGGGGCGGGGTACACCCTGGACGAGTCGCAAGTCCATCACAGGGACACACAGAGACAAACGAGACAAACAACCATTCACTCTCTCACTCACACCTAGGGACAATTTAGAGTTACCAATCAGCCTAACATGCATGTTTTTGGTCTGTGCGAGGAAATCGGAGCACCCGGAGAAAACCCACGCATGCACAGAGAGAACATGCAAACTCCACCCAGAAAGGCCCCTGGACCGGGGTTTGAACCAGGGACCTGCTCGCTGAGAGGCAGCAGCTCTACCAGTTGCACCACCGTGCTGCCCCATCTTATATTCAACATCTTATTGTTCCGTATTTTCCTAACAGAGCACTTCGCTCTCAGACTGCAGGCTTGCTTGTTGTTCCTAGAGTTTTCAAAAACAGAACGGGAGGAATATCTTTCAGTTATCAAGCTCCTCTCTTGTGGAACAACCTTCTGTTTCTGCTCGTAAAGCTGACACATTGTCCAGTTTTAAGACTGGGCTTAAGACTTTCCTTTTTGATAAATCCTATAGTTAGGGTCGACTTGTCATACTTTCTTAAGCCTAGACTACTAGAGGACAAATTGACCTCATTTCCTAAATGATTAGTTAAAATTTAATATTTGTCATGTGATACTATTTCTATCAACATGTGATTCTTGACCTGCCATTGTGTATCTGTTCCTCTCAAACTCAGCCGGTCGAAGCAGATGGCCGCTTATCCTGAACCTGGTTCTGCTAAAGGTTTCTTCCTCATGAAATAGTTTTTTCTTTCCACTGTCGCCTTCATGCTTGCTCAACATGAATGTTCTGTGATGGAGTTGAACTCAAAGCAGTCTGCTCCTCAGATAAATAATGTTAAATTATTATTTTTATATATGAATGTTTCTGTTCAGTGCCCTGAGATGACTTCTGTTTGACTTGGCACTATATAAATAAACTGCATTGAATTGAACTGAATTGAACACAAAGAGGGGCAGCACGGTGGCGCAACTGGTAGAGCTGCTGCCTCTCAGCGAGCAGGTCCCTGGTTCAAACCCCGGTCCAGGGGCCTTTCTGGGTGAAGTTTGCATGTTCTCTCCGTGCATGCGTGGGTTTTCTCCGGGTACTCCGGTTTCCTCCCACAGACCAAAACATGCATGTTAGGCTGATTGGTAACTCTAAATTGTCCCTAGGTGTGAATGAGAGAGTGAACGGTTGTTTGTCTCTCTGTGTAGCCCTGTGATGGACTTGCGACCCGTCCAGGGTGTACCCCACCCCTCGCAGTGATTGCTGGACATGGGCACCAGCGACCCCCGTGACCCAAAATGGAATAAGCGGGTAAAGAAAATGGATGGATGGATGAACACAAAGAGGAGGAACACTAAGGGTGAATGTAACATGAGGAAACAGAAGGACAAAACCCAGAAACCCAAGCTGTTTGATTTTCTGTGGAAAAAAACTAAGATCACTGAACACTCAGTAGCACTAAACAGCTTTCAAAGTTGATGAGTAACTAGCAAACACAGTGAAACACTTAGCAGCTAAGGTCAGCTTTTTGAGTCAACATTCAGCTCCATGTTTCCTCACTATGTTGGTGTCTGCTGCTGAAAGTGTGCAATGGGTGAGTATCTGTGGCATTTGTTACACTGAATTTGATTTCATTAATAGGCCTTGCATTTGCAGATGCTGACTTTTTAAAGTATAGTACAACTAATTGTTTCTTAAATTTGCATTAATAAACTTAGAAAAACACTATTATGTCATCAAAATGTTCCAAGTATTTTATCATAAAACTATGCTACACCCTTGAGAGAGATTAATGTGTTTTATTGGGAACTACAATTAAAGTGTTGCATCTCAGGGTAAGAAAAGATAGATCAGCTGGGAATCATAACGTGCATATGTGTGTGTGGGGTGTGTGTGTGTGTGTGTGTGGGGGGGGGTATTCCAACGTGCACATTTGTTTGTGTCAGCACATGCTCTTATATAGAGTCCTATTGTCTAATGGCTCTGTGTGGTAATCATTGCATGGGGTTGGAGGGTAAATATGCTGGTAATCTTTGGCTTATCATGACGTTTAGTCCTCTTAAGCTCAGTCTGGGTGTTGAAAATGGCTCACAGCTGCCAAAATTCATTAGAGCCATGTGCGCTAAAAGAGTAGTGAACTTTACGTTAGACGAGTTCCATCTGCAGAGAGTAATAATTCATTTATTGTCTGAATTGATGTTTTGTCCCTCTCCTGCAGATTGCATCACAACATTGTTTTCTGTTCAACAAGTGTGAAGTTTCTCCTTTATGTTTTTATTTTATATTTTAAAATTGGGTCTTTTTTTTGTTTCACTCTCTGAAACCAATGTTTTGCCGTCCAGTTTTTCTTCAGCTCCTCTGGCTATAGCATCTTGTGTGTGACACTTTTATCACAACAAATTCAGTGAGCTTAAAAAAATGTACACACAAGCTGGCAATGGATCAGACTAACTCTAGTGACCAGATTAAACACAGACTCACAATATTCCATTAGTAAAACTGCCTCTAAATTAATAAAACCTGTGATGTGTTCATGTGCAAATGCTTGTGGCTACGTGCATGCTGTGATACTTCTGCAGACGTTGAGTTGTTTGCATTCTTTGAGCAGGTGCTTTTCCTGCATGGCCTGTCCTTGATGCTCGGGGAGACCTATATGGTTCAGTGGGACATGATGGCTGAAGATTATCAACGCTTTGACTGTCATCCAGAAGAGCATGCAGATGAAGACAAATGCAAAGCACGTGGCTGCATCTGGAAGGTGAGGAATAGCTCAATCTGATGATCATATTTGAAAACCATCTTCCATCCTCTGAATGTCCACCTGATTTTTTTCCATTTCTATCCACATGCAGCCAAGCAGCATTGAACGTGTTCCCTGGTGCTTTTATCCAAGCGACTATGGTTACACTGTTACAACAATCAAAGAAAATAATTCTGGCATCACCGCTGATATCACTCGAAACATGAAATACAGAACTAGCGGTCGTCCAGACTCTCCAGACATTAACAACCTCCGTGTTGAGATTCTGTATCATACCAGTCACATGTTCCAGTTCAAGGTGTGTTTTTGTTACTTCATCTGCTCACGTTTCCACGCTCATTCTCTGGCAGTTTGTCTTTATTCCAAAGCACCCCTCCTGCATGCTGGACACACAAACAGACTAACGCTCTCTTCATGTCCAGATCTGGGATCCAACTTCTGAACGCTTCGAGGTACCAGTGCCCCTCTCTGTCCCTGGTGCTCCTGAGACAAATGAGAACAAAAGAATTTACAAGGTCTCTGTCAGCACCAAGCCGTTTGGCATCCAGGTCATCAGGAAGAGCACAGGAACCAAGATGTGAGTGTTTGGGTCAGAAATGCTGAGCTTGTTGTTTGTTCTGAATCCTGACCAACCAGTCAGGAGTGTTTAATTAGTTTATTTTTCTTGCCTGTTAGCTGGGACTCTGCCATGCCAGGTTTTACCTTTTCAGACATGTTCATCCACGTGTCGACTCGACTGTCATCCGAATTCATCTACGGCTTTGGAGAAACAGAACATCCCACCTATAAACACGATCTGAACTATCACACCTGGGGTATGTTCTCCAAGGACCAGCCTCCTGGTGTGAGTATCAAAGTGAATCCCAGCGCTGCTTCGTCATGCAAGTGTGTTCAAGAAAGATGAATTAATGAATAAATCCTTCGAAAATATTTAATTACTGTTTTGACTTTTTGTTGAGATATGTGCTTTTAATGTTTTAGTAATTTTGTGTTCATTACCAAGGTTTTTGTGATTTTTTTTTTGTTGTGTGTTTCTCAGTTACGTCTGCCATTCTCACCTGTCAGCATTTTATTTCATTTAATTTAATACATTTATATAAACTCCTCAAACTCTAGCATCCACTTTTGGTGCCAAGTTTGCAAGAGCATTATTTACTTCTAAGAATGTTTTCAAGCCCAGTAAATCACAGTATTGTACAGTATTATATTTGCACGTTTTATTTAAGTGATTTACATTTTAAAGGGAAGTTCAGAAAATATGGAATTTGAGGAGATATTTCACTTCAGCGTTCACTGTGGTTTGGGTTTCCTCATTTGTTTCTATGCTAGAAACTAAAGCAGTAACTCAAGTTGGCACTTACAAATAGAGCCACTGAGCAGAGGTTTAGACCTTATGCAGCAGGACAGGGAGATTCAAATGTGGCAGATTTCCTCTTCTCATCTCTTTTCTTTCAGCTCTATTTCAACCACTTCCATTATCATTTGAACCTAAAACAAGGATGACGCTTCATTTTGTCTGTCAGTTTTAGTTAAACTAATGAGAAACCTATTTAGCCACGAATTAAAGCGTTGAACAACCCAGCTATAGCTATTCTGATCACACAGGTCATCACCTATAGATTCTGCAGTTTTACACATTTGATGCTCTTTCTGCTTCAGTACAAGATGAATTGTTATGGAGTTCATCCCTTCTATATGGGCCTTGAGAACACAGCTGATGCTCATGGGGTGCTGCTGCTGAACAGTAACGCTATGGGTGAGAACATCCTACAGTTACTACCACTCATTGATGTTTGTGCATGTACACACTGTGGGTTTATAGATTTACAAATGCACCACACATATCACAAACTTTTGATCAATGCCCATTATACAGTATATTACTGCAGGTTTTTTATCCACTTTGCTTACATAGAAAATTATTTTTTAATTTGTTATTCTCCATTTATGTCTCTCATCTTCTGAATCCTTTTTTATAGATAAAATATTATTCAATAAATTGATACAAGTAGATAATTTTTATTATTATTTTTGGCAACTACCCATTACTGTAATATGCAGCAAATAATTTTAACCTCTAACCAACACAAATGAATGCCTAATTCTGACACTAATTAACTTTAGTCTAACCTTAAAACTGAAGAATTGAGGAATAAAAGAGCCCTTTAAACATTAAATCTTGTGGAGTTTAATCAGAACCACAGAAGCTGTGGTACAACTTCTGGAAGTTCATTAAACGCAGGGTATTATGGTCTAAAAAACACTGCAATATACAGGTATCGTGATACAAAGTATATATCAGAACATCACTGTATTGTTGTTTAATGCGACATTTTAACTGCAGTGAAAATGTATTCTTGACAGTCCCAAAATAGTAACTTCAGAAATCTCACATCAGTATTTAACATGTTAAAGTGTAGGGTTAAGGCCTCTCTCACACCCCTCTAGTACATGAATCCCAACTACTATATACTGCGACGACGACGGCAATGATGGCGACGACTTATAAAACCTTGTTAGAAACCTTCGTATCTCTTTGCTTTGTATCCAGATGTGACTTTCCAGCCGACTCCATCTTTAACCTACCGCACTACTGGAGGCATCCTGGATTTCTACATGGTCATGGGACCTACGCCCGAGCTGGTTGTGCAAGAGTACACTGCTGTAGGTTTTGTCAGCCCTCTGGTTCATTTTGTGTGTGATTTTGTGCGCACGTGTGATTTGGGTTTGGCCTTAGAGCAGCTCTGAGAGCACTCCACATGCATGCTTACAGTAAATGGTAAATGGAGTTTAGTTACAAAATATCTTTCTAGCCAATCAGGTCATTCAAAATGCTTTACAACACAATCTGTGCACTCATTACCCATCCACACACACATTCATACAGCACTCTACAAAACTAATCTGAGTAAATCATTCAGAGGCTAACCAGCGCCTTTGTTAGATCAAATGCATACACTGATGGGGCACACATCGGAAACAATGAGTTCAGACCTGACTGAAAAATGTTGGATTGTATACCTGGATTATTGAGCATGGACTTTGTTGTAATGAGTTCAGTGTTTTGCCCAGGGACACATGGACATGTGACTACATACTGGTGGAATCAAACCTCTAAATCTCTTGATGGATGACTAAGCTGCCCCAAACAAAGAAAACTTAATGAACTGTGTCCTATTTTTGTGCAGGGCAGCTATTTTTGAGCTGAAGCGTTTTAACTTTTTTCTCTATTTTTATTTTAACAGCTGATTGGACGACCTGTCCTACCTGCTTATTGGTCCCTTGGGTTTCAATTGTGTCGCTATGGATACGCCAATGACTCTGAAATAGAAAGTCTGTACCAAGACATGAGGGCAGCAGGCATACCCTATGTGAGTTTTAGGCATTTTTTTCAATAATTGACATAAAATGGCTCCATACAAGATAAATGTTTGCAGAGCTGTGGCAGAAGATTATTTTCTGTATGATCTAAATGAGTAATGCATAAAATTAAATTAAATAATAGTCAAAATCACAAATACACTATTACTGATCATTCCCTGCAAACATTTGTTAATGTTTTACACCACTGTATTGAAAGAAGCACCAGTTTTATAATAGACCACAGTTAATCCTCTCTCTGTCAGTCTGAACAAACATTTTGAAAGCTCTTTGTTGCCCACTGCAGGCTTCATCACATCTACAAATTGCAGTTTGTTCTTGATTTTCCTTGCTTAAATAAAACTTTAGATAATTAGTGCTAAAAAACAAATCTGAAACACAATCTCTGGTGCCTAAATTTCATAAAATTCAAGCCTAATGAACAACCACTGAAGAAACATACTGAAGCCCATCTTCTACAGAGTAGAACAAAATTAAATAAATACATAATAAATAAATGTATCATTTAATTATTCAATAAATCTGTAAGTATCCATTGATTGAAACCAGTATCTTGACGCTCTGAGGTGTCTCCTCATCCTTAACACCATGCATTAAATTTCCACAGAATCCTTAGTGAAGTTGAACACTTTACTTCGGTTGCAAAAATCAAAACATGTACAAAATTAAAGAAAAGGAACTAGAGAGACATAGAGGGAGAGGTCAAAAAACTGTGAGGCTCCACTCTGCTCCACCTGTCTGCTGACAGCCTGACTAATGGCCTGCCAATAAACCACACCCACCTCAATACAGGTAATCATCAAAACACCTAATTATACACTGCTGCTGGAAAATAATATAACTCTAAATCTCTAATAAATCTTAGATGTTAATCACTTTATCATCAAAACAAACTAAATATCACACCTTTACCTTTATCATTTTAAATGACTCTCAGTGAATCACCTATGAACTCAAAACTATACAGTTACATTTGTTAACCATTTTAAACTGCATTTAGGCTCCAACATCATTAAATATACAATTAAATTATTAAATACACAATTAATTAATTAAATGTCCCATGAAATAAATTAAGGCACTTTTAGTAAATAATAACACTAAATAATGAAATGTCATGATACATTTAATTATGTGTTTATTTATTTAATTTTGTCACATTCCACCCTCCATACTACATTGTTGTGAACAGAATGAAAATATAAAGATATTCAAAAGATATTATGTTGAAACATTATCCCAAGTTAACTATCGCCCAAACTAATCCTGCATTCTTATAACAACACAAAATAACTTTTTTTTTTTTAAAGATTATATTTTATTTAGTTTTCAAGATCAAAGACAATCCAACCATATTTTCAAACTCAACAGGCGAGCTTAGCGGGAAAACTGTTTTTCTCTATGGGAAAAATGGGAGCCAAAAGGAAAAACAAGGAAGTAACATCCTCTGGTATTGTGAAAGTGCAGCTCACCATATAAGTGAAGAAATCATCATGTTACTTGTTACCTCGGTGTGCAGAAAATTATTGAAGTAATCTAAAAAAGTTAAATCTGGTCCTCTGGACGTTAAAAAAAACAAAACAAAGCAAAACAAACAAACAAAAAAAAGTATTGTTTTTTAATGTCCAGAGGACCAGATTTAACTTTTTTAGATTTTTCTCCCTGGATTATTGAGCATGCATCAGGATATTATTGAAGTAAGTTAGCAGGAACTGATTTGAACATGTGCTGCAGGATGTTCAGTACGCAGACATCGACTACATGGAGCGTCAGCTGGACTTTGTGCTGGACTCAGATTTTAAAGGACTCCCTGCCCTGGTTGACTCAATGAGAGAAGAAGGAATGAGGTTCATCTTCATTCTGGTAATGCCTTCCTGATGTAAACAACAGCTCTTCTATAAGTGCACTGTATGCAAGATTATTCACCGTCAGAGAAGGACACGTGTTTATACATTTTAAACCTTTTTTTTATTTTTTTCGCAATTATTTGGTCAATATTTACATTTGAGTAATATTTATAAAATCTAACTACCGGTAATAAAAATGATCAGAAGTATTGACATAAGCCTTAAAATATTAGAAGCACACTGCTTTTTCATCTGTTGTTGCACCAGTACAGCTCCAAGTAAAGACTAACTCTGTCATCAACGTGTTCAATTATTTTAACAACACAATTGTATTTATTGCCTAAATGTGAACAATTTGGTCTTACAGTGCTTTCTATCTGTAACATATTCATGAAAAATTATTTAATTCTGAATGAATAACACAGAAGTGTAGATCCGGTGTGCTCATGCGTATTGATTTGATTCCAGGATCCAGCCATTTCAGGAAATGAGACAAATTATCCTGCTTTTAAAAGAGGGCGAGAAGCTGATGTTTTCATCAAATGGCCCAAAGACATCAGTGATGAAATAGTTTGGGGAAAGGTAGGAAGGAACTGATCTATTTATCAATAAAACAGTGATTTAAAGTTGTAAAGGCATGACTTTTACACATATATGATTCACAACTTTTTTCCCTCAAGGTCTGGCCAGATTTCCCTAATGTCACAGTCGATGACAATCTTGACTGGGATACACAAGTAGAGGTACGCTTTGTACATTTTACTTTCCACAGTATAGCATGCAGCATATTAGAAAATATAAACATTACAAAAACCAGCAAACATACAAGAGTATGCCACATCATTCAGACTCAGGTAAAACTATAGTAACAATCGTTATTTAATTAAAAAAGTAATGTTCTGCTAGAAAAACCCACATTCTAGCAATCACTGGGGTGAAAGGATTTATTATAATAATAATAATAATAATGTCATCACAATGTCATCACTGTATGTTTCCATACAATGGCGAAATTAGTCTCTGCATTTAATCCATCCACCACCGGGTGGTGCAGTGGGCAGCTATTGAGGGTGCCCGGGGGGCATTTTGGGGATGAGGTGTGCTGCCCAGAGACACCACGACGTATGCAGTGACCAGGGATCGAACCTGGGACTTTCGGGTCCCAAGCCAGCTGCCCTGCCTCTACACCATCTCGTCCCCCATATTTATTGCTAATGTCTCAGAATTAGAAACCAGATGTTTGTTCATGCACCAGTAAGTCATAGGAAGACCTATTCAATAATAGGCAGGTGGATGTAAAGATATGGCCAAATAGTGTGCATCAAAGCATGGGATATTTCAGTTTTGATCATTTCAATTACTGATTTTGTTGGACTGTCCCAGCTCTACAGGGCGTACACAGCATTTCCAGACTTCTTCCGCACTCAGACAGCAGCTTGGTGGCATCAAGAAATCAATGATTTCTTTGTGAATACGATGAAGTTTGATGGACTTTGGATTGTGAGTTTACTGAAGAAGAAAACGTTTATTTCTGACATTCTACGCCATCATTATAAGGCCGTATTTCAAGTATCCACCTACTCTTCCTGATTTTCTGTCACCTTTTTACTACTCTCACCCCATCTCCATACAAAGGACATGAACGAACCCGCCAGTTTTGTTCATGGCACAGTTGGAGGGAAGTGTCTTGGTGATCCGCTTCTAGAAAATCCACCCTATATGCCACGTAAGAAACTTGCAAACTTCTTATGTCTTCTTTAGTTACAATGGATGGAAAAGATCCTTAAAATACTCTGTGGTTGTCTCTGTGTTTTTGTCAATCCTAAAGCCCTGGAGTCCAAACAACTCGGCTTAAACCACAAGACTCTTTGCATGAACAGTGAACACATACTTAACAATGGAAAGAAGGTCAGACACTACGATGTCCACAACCTCTATGGATGGTCCCACACCAAACCTACCTACGAGTAAATACCCTTTCATCTTTTTAAGTCCACTGGTGGCTGTGCAATCTGCATTGATTTATTCAGTTTCAAAGGCAGATACTGTTTGACATTTCAAGATATAATTGTGTGAGACAAGACATTTTCAAGAGTTATTAAACAGAAAACAACATATAGGCTGTGTCATCTGGGTGAACTGAGGCGTTACAATGAACAAGTGAAAATAATTTAATGTAAAAAAGAAAAAGTAGAAAGCTTTAGTGGAAGAGCAGTTTAAAAACAAACATAAAAATAAAGATAAAACATGTATATACATCTACACCAGGGGTGTCAAACCCACTTACAAAAGGGAGCCAAAATTAAACCCTTTTTCAAACTAAGGGCCGCTTTCAGAATCTAGATTAACTCAAGTTAGATACCCAACATCTTTTCTTGGTTGCAGGTTCCTCAACGAGTTTGATTGGTCTCATTTGACATTCTCTGTTGCACTTTTGACATCATAATCAAATATTACTGAAAAAATTAAAGTGATCAAAGTGTTTTTCATTTAAAATAACATCTTGGGGGCCAGAAAAGATGTCAACGAGGGCCACATTTGGCCCCCGGGCCTTGAGTTTGACACATATGAGCTACACAGAAATCTGGTCTTATTGTATTTTTATGATCAAGATGAACTTTATAAAAGTACATTGTGCAAAGTGCAAGAGAACATCTGTTTCTTCTCTGCGCAGCGCCCTGCTGAGTGTGACGGGGAAGCGAGGAATAGTGGTAACCAGGTCAACTTACCCCTCCAGTGGGAAATGGGCCGGACACTGGCTGGGAGACAATTTTGCCCGCTGGGACCAGCTGTCTAAATCCATTATAGGTATCTGTAGAGATACACAACTGATGAAACTTCAACGTTTATCAGGATTATTTTTAATTTGACAGAATCATGTCTCCACCAGAATGAATCCAGAACTTACCGTTGTTCTTTGTCCTGCAGGCATGATGGAGTTCAGTCTGTTTGGCATCTCTTATGTAAGAATCAGCATCTGATATGGGGTTTAACATAATCTTATTGATGACACAGTGTCCACTCTAAATGGCTTACAGTTGATCAAAGTGGATATTTTGTTTGCTTGATCAATGATCAATGAAAATCTTAAAATAATATTTCAAGCATGTCAAAACAAGCCCAGTCCCATTTGATTGGCTTTGTGTTTGTCTACCATCACCTCTATAGTTTATTAAATAATCTTAACTGGCATATGCTTTGTTTGTCCGCTTGTACTCATTTCTGTCGCCTGTATCTCTTGCAAAGAATCATTCTGTTGATTATTTTCTTCATGTTTCCAGCAAAATCACAATTTGACACTTTACTGAGATTTGTACAGACAACAACTGCCAACATTGTAGCAACAGAGTCAAAACACACAAAGAGAACGATGGCAGCAAACATCCCTGGGATCTAAAGGTGCTTTTAGTAGTTCCACCTGCTTCCTAATGCATTGTTTGTCACATTGTTTCAGACTGGGGCCGACATATGTGGGTTTTTTGACAAAGCAGAGTATGAGATGTGTCTTCGCTGGATGCAGCTTGGGGCTTTCTATCCGTACTCACGCAACCACAACAGCAAAGGGAACCCGGTTAGTAATTTTAAAACCACTCTAATACCCCAATTTAATAACTCTTAAGTGCTCAAGTTGATTTATAACTCAAATTATATAATTATTATCTAACAAATGTAAGTGAATTAAACAAAACACTCAAAAGTCCAAAATGTATTGCCAAAGAACTTATTTCAGCACGTTTGACGTGCATGAATGGGTTTAAAAATAAACATTTAATTGCTTTTCTCTCTGATTACCATACCAGCTTTATAGTGCACCACAGGAGCAAAGTGCTGTACACATAATAAAACAATCAGACAATAAAGAACAATTAAAATATTTAGTCACCATCACAGATAGTGTCAAAGGCAAGGGAGAAGAGATGGGTTTTAAAAAGAGATTTAAAAACAGACAGGGAAGAGGCCTGTCTGATGTTCAAGGGAAGGTCGTTCGCTGCCACAGCAAAAGCACGATCTCCTCTGAGCTTATGCTTTGTCTTCAGCACACTCAGGAGCAGCTGACCTGAGGGATCGAGAGGGGGTGTATGGAAAAAGCAACTTGGACTTATAGGGTAGGGCAAGTCCATTACAAGCTTTAAAAGCAAATACAATAATTTTAAAATGAATCCTAAATGGGCAGCCAGTGCAGGGAGGCTAAAATAGGGGGAATGTGGTCAAACTTTCATGTGCCAATTAAAAACTGTGCAGCACAGCATTCTGTGCCCTCTGAAGGTGAGAGATACGTGAATCACTGATTCCTGTATAGAGTACGTTACAGTAGTCCAGCCGAGTGCTCACAAAGATGTGGATTACTGTTATGTCACTGAGAATGAATCTGCTTTACTTTAGCCAGCTGCCTTAAATGGAAAAAAGACTATATTCAACAAGTGCTCTGACGTGATTTTCTAACTTTAGTCCAGCATTGACTTTGACCCCTGGGTTTGTAATAGTTGGCCTGATTTACTGGGCCAAGGAACCAGAATATACAGTGGGAATCTCAGTGGAGCTTCCAAAAACCATCACCCCAGTCTTTTCCTCATAGTTCTCAACCATCCAGGCTTTTATGTCCTCCAGACATAAAAACAGGGCCCATGAGAATTAGTCTTTTTTCTTTAGTGGGACATGTATCAATGTATCATCTGTGTAACAATGAAAGGAGATCCCATATTTTCTAAAAATAGAGCCAAGAAGGAACAGTACAGCGTGAAGGGGAGGGGCCCTAAAATGGAGCCCTGCGGGACCCCACACAAAATATTAATTATGGGTTTCATTTTCTGTCAGAGACAAGATCCTGTGGCCTGGGATGACAACTTTGCTGCGGCGTCTCGAGATGTCCTCAACATCCGTTACACCCTCCTGCCATACCTGTACACTCTGATGTTTGAGGCACACACCAAAGGAAGCACAGTTATCAGACCTCTGCTGCATGAGTGAGAGCACACAGAAAACAAAGCAAAATCACCATCAAATGCTTTACTGCCACTGGGTAACCAGTTTTTATTTTTTGTATTGCTCGTCATAAATGAATATGTCAAATTGAAAACTAGTTTATGAGACAATGTTTTGTTTAACCCATCTTTAGAGCCAATGCTTGTTAAAAAATAAGCTGGGTGGGACTACTGTATTATCACGTCATTGCTGACTATAAAAGAATGCTCAGTTAATGCTCATTTAATTTAAATGCATTCTGCTAGCCTCTGTAATCAGAAGGATCTGTTTGTTTTATTTGGATATATGACATGAGTGAGTAAAAGAAGAATACCATTAGATAGTTGTTATTTTTACTTCCTGAAGGCCGCCTGTACAGAGGACAGATATGCACTTGGCAATTCCTGCATGAGTGAAATACTATAAAACAGATTTATCCATTTGGAGAGGCTCATATAAAGTTGTACATATTTAAATAATTAAAAAAAAAATTCTAATAAAAGTATTTAAACAGTTGTTAAGGCTAAGAGTGCGTGACGGAGCTTTCGTTCCAAGATATCTGAGCCAGGGGTGATATTTATTTTACTTTGTGTCTCACAGATTTGTAAATGACAAAACTACGTGGGACATTTACAAACAGTTTCTCTGGGGACCTGCTCTGCTTATCACCCCTGTCCTAGATGAGGTACATTTATAAATTTACACTTTATTCTTTTAGCATTTTTATTTTTCTTATTAGACAGATTAAATATATAGCGTTTATCCTTTTAACTATCTCATGAATAGATTACTGATTATTGTTTCCCTGTTGTGTCTTTTGGTGTGACTTCTTCTTTGTTTCTTCTGAAAAGAAAGTCAAGGAAGTGGAAGGCTACCTTCCTAATGCGCGCTGGTACGACTACCACACAGTAAGCATTTGTCTAAAAATTATTATAAAGACAGTGATTTATGGCAAGTGCATAGCTGATGTGCTGTGAGATCAAATGCAAACATTCAGCCCTTTCATGCATAGTGGTCACTGCAGTGGACAGCTATTTAAAAGCCATTTTCTTGTATACGTATGGGTTTTTATGTTGTAACGGATCATAGACCACTAAAGTGGACACTAGTGCATCATAAAATCCACTGCCACTGGCCTCCCACTGCTAGATCAAGTCTGATACAATAACAGCTACTAAGGTGATGTAATTAGGTTTATTCACATCTGATTGGCTGGATAATTCATGTAAAACATGGAGGGACTTTATTTATCATTTGTAAATTACATTATTCACCTCAACTACGATGTGTTTTATACCAAAACACCAAAGACTTTCCTCAATCAAATCTGTAAGTAGTTCCATAAAATAAAACATCACATTTACAACCACAACTGCAACATAAATCATGGACCTTTGTTAATATTTTATGTAATATGTTTGTACTTGAGCATTGTAATTGTCCTTCTTTATATATATATTTGCTTTTTGGAACTAAGTGAATTTTCTGCTGGGAAACAAATGAAGGTTTATTCCGTTTTTTTTTTGTGTGTGTGTGTTTTTTTCATCACTGACAAACCTACAGTTGTTGACAACACTGATTAAATTAAATTGAGACAGTTGTGCTGATGCAACACATTTAAAGTTGAATAACTTTATGATGTTTTCAGTATTTCAGCAGTGAATAATTGTGTTGTCATTAGGCGAAGGATGTCGGGGTGCGTGGGGAAAAGATTAATTTGCCAACACCACTGAATCAAATTAATCTTCACGTCAGAGGAGGATACATTTTACCCTGGCAGAAACCAGAGAACAACACGTACCACAGGTGAGTACAATCACTGTTGTACATGAATTACTATATTTAGTCTTGCTTTTTGGCTGTTTGTGTTTTTGTATTTAAAACAGAACATAAAATTGTAATCGGAAAGTTTCTAGTTAAAAACCTGAAAACAGCATGAACATCTTTAGACTATTTTATTGTATTTACCTGCAGACAGTTAAAATCATTCTGGTTTGTGGTCAATCTGCACAAAGTAAGTGGGATGTCTGGAACAACTTTTAACACATTTCTGCCTGATGACAAAGAGGAAAATAAAGAATAAAATCTTTAAACCAAAAAGGCAATATTTGATGCGTACTCAGTGCAACTCTATTGATGGAAATAAAACACACCACGGTTGAAATTGATTTTAATTGCTCTAAAGAAAACAAAACTACTTTTTAAATCCAACTGTGCAATGATTGGAGACGTTAAAAAATATGTTGCATCTTCTTTAAATGATAAATGTAACCAGAGTGGTGAATTATATAATAAACTATTTTCCCAGCTGACATCATTGTAAAAAAAACTGTGGATTTTTGTAACACGAAGTAAACATATTTTCATAATTGCTTTCAAACTGGCCATTTTAACACAGGAAGAGAACGTTTAATTTTACATGACAAAAATAATTATACAAGCTTCCAGCTGTGTGAGGAGGAGGTGGCTGTGATCGAGCAGCAGTTTGATCAGGCCCTTTCATCAGAGACACTAATTTGTCTAAAAGTCCATTCTGCTTTCAGCCTTTTTGTCCCTTTTCATGTTTCAGCCGAAAGAATCCTTTAGGACTCCTCGTGGCCCTGAGTGACTCTGGAGCAGCTCACGGGTCATTTTTCTGGGATGATGGAGAAGGAGTGGGTGAGTGAACCGTTTCATCCGCCTCCAGGTGTTTTTACGATATGATTGTGACTATGTTGTGCTCATTTAATCCCAAATAAGATATCCACCTGATTCACACAGACACACAACTCATGCACAAACTACGTTATGAATATAAGTAGTACATATTCTTAATTTCTCACCATTCTTTTTAAAAGTGAGTGCTCACTGTCAACTACAGTGCACCTTGCACAGTGAAGTTATTGCATTTGTGTTTTTTCATCATGTCAGCAGCTTAGTTTGATAGATTTGTTTGATTTGCCTCCTAGTTTGGAGAATGTTTCCCTGAATTATTATATTTTTAACCTGAATGGTTTAGTTTAAGCTCACAGTTAGCTGTTCACACGTCTGTCTCGCAGGCTGTCCTTTTATTGCCTTCCCTCATCACTCGCTTGTTTACCTTTTCAAGCAGGTGGTACTGCAACTATTACTTGCAGCGTCAACTTTATCACTCAGTTTCTGTCAGTTACCAAATCAATCTACAAATGAGTTTGTTACGTTTGTTAGAGTCAATGCTCCTTTATTTACACACTGACAAACATATATACTGTGCATTTATATATATATATATATATATATATATATACACACAAGTTGTGTCAGGGCACTGAACAGAAACATTCACATACATACAAAAGCCAATAAGTAAAGTAAGGAAGCCAGCAGATGTGTTGAATCTTCTGTCCGATGAAAGTTGTAAAAGCTCAGTATGTGTACCTTCATTTCTCTGCCAGTCAATCATTCAATATTTAAAAAGAAACAACTTTATTTCCTTCAATAATTCTGCTCTGTGTTTACTTTTCTCTTGTTTCCGCTCGTTAGACACGGTGGGGAGAAATCAATATCTTTTGACTTCCTTTACAGCAGAATCAGTAAGTCTGAATGTGTTCAAGGATAAACTAAAGGTTGTGTCCTTTTCTCTTTTTTTTTTTAAACAATTCAATAAATATTTTTGTCCTTTAGCATAGTTTGGGAAAATGAAAATAAAAAGAGTCAAATCTAATAAGAGATAATGATTTGAATATAACTAATATACTCTTTTTAGCTTTGATGTTTTTCAAATTGTTAGATTTATTACAAGGAATACATATTTTTCATAAATTGTTCTCCATTTTATTGTTTTCTGGAAGTGATTACAGTACATGTTTGTTTATATTTGTTTACTTTTAAAATATTTTTGTTGTTTGTTTTTAAAATGGAAAGTCTTCGGATCAGGTATGAGACTTGATCACATTTAGCATTCGGGCTAACCTTTGGTACGTTCACATTTTATTTCTGTGTGGCCTAAAGTACAGTCAAATAATATATTTTTAATAAAAAAAACTAGAATTTTTAAAATTATTTTCTCCACCAATTCTTCCTCCAGAACACGTTGAGCAGTCAGGTTGTCCACAACGCACTGGCAGCTGCTGATCACCTGGTTTTGGGCGCGGTGAAGGTTTGGGGGGCGGGTCATGTCAGGATCACAGAGGCGACTCTAACAGACTCAGAAGGGAAACCTCATCTCCTCACTCTGGACCATAACCTTGAAACTCAGGTCAGCAGAGTGATCAAATGCTCTTCATTTACATTTACATCATGATGATCAATGACTGTTTCAATTTATTGAAAAGATGGGATCCTTTATTGTTTTTTAATTATTATTTCTTTAAACAAACACAACTTTTGTCTTTTTGTCCTTTTGTCTCATTCTTTCCACAGGAGCTGATTATAGATGTCACACCAAAGTCTTATCCTCTCCATCTTCCTTTTACTATAAACTGGAGGACCAGCAGCTGAAAGTCATACGTGTGTTTCACTCATAAATTATATTTATGTACCTCAAGGTTCAGCGTCAAACCTCGAGTACTTTTGGTTTTGATTCTGTCATCAAAGTGCCTTAAAATCAATCTTAAAAAAAAAAAGGTGTCAAACAACATAATAAAGTGTGTGATCGTGTACAAACAACTGACACTGTCTTAATTTGTTAAAAATCAAATGAAACATGATTTAAATTACCAGAATAATGTTAATACTGGGCTTTTCTTTTATAACTATGGCTGACACTTGGGGATAATAAATATGATTTACATGACATTTAAAGAAAGACATCGAATTATAACTATTTATACACATCTGCTGCAGTATACAATTATTGTATGGAAATAAATCACTTACTCTCTCACATGTGTGTTTGCATCTGGACATTGTTCTTTCAGTTTAAAAAAAAAATGTAATCAAAAATGTAACTTTAGGGTCAGAAAATAATTTTAACAGTTTGAAATTTGGTAATTTAAAACACATTTTATGGCATATGAAATGAAAGAATGCTGACTTTGTGCCTAAGAGACATATGCAGAGAAAACCCTTTTAAAATATTGTCCTTGACGCACATAACTAATGAAAATGTTCTTATCGTTAAGAAAATGTCAGCCATGCTAATTAATCATCATGTCAAAAAACCTCATCTTAAATTGTAATTTTTTTTCCTTTCACTAAAGAAAACATTTTGACATAATACATAAGGTAAGGATTTCCTCTTCTGGTTTATGTTGGAATTACAACTGACTTCATCATCTGACGCAGACAGTACACACACATACTTCAAGTATACACACATGCAGTACAGTCTACACATGAAACTTCTTCATGTGGTCTACAAACAGCTCACCAGGCACTTAACCCCTTTTTCATTGTGCAATATTCAGCGGACACTAAAACAGTTGAAAATCAACAAGTTAAACCATCCTTTACCAGCAGAGTGACGAAACCTGACGAGGAAAGTGGAAGAGAAGACGGGGATGAGATAATATGTTGAAATCTCAAACAGGAAACGTTGGCGTTCTTGTAAAATTATTTTGTAAAATGTTCTTGGCAAATGCAGCTGACAGCATCACATGGAGAAGTTCAATATGTAAAGTATTATTAAAAAAAAAAAAAGTTCAATACAATCAGCTCCACACGTTAAGTCTGTTGAATATGTTGAGCTGCAAAAGTATTCACTCTTACTGCTTGGTATTTTTTATGTATTGCTGCCGTACAGCATGGATTTTAAATTCATTTTCAATATGATTTTAATTAATCGCAAGACGGTGGCTCAGTTGGTAGAGCTGTCACCTCTCAGAGAGAAAGTTACCAGTTCAAATCCCAGCCGGGGGCCTTTCTGGGTGGAGTTTGCATGTTCTCTTCGTGCATGCATGGGTTTGCCCCGGGCACTCTGGTTTCCTCCCACAGACCAGAAACATGCATGTTAGGCTGATTGGTAACTCTAAATTGTCCCTAGGTGTGAGTGAAAGAGTGAATGGTTGTTTATCTTTTTTGTCTCTATGTGTCCCTGTGATGGACTGGAGACCTGTCCAGGATGTGTCCCCCTGCCTATCACACAATAATGGCTGGATATGGGCACCAGTGACCCCCGTGACCCAAAAAAGAACTGGGTAAAGATAATGGATGGATGGATAGAAGTTTGTTTTATTTAGTTTGATTATATTATTACAGGTGTAAACATGAATAATGATGATTATTGTTTGCAATCATTATAATTACTTTAAATTATGTGAAATATTATAATGGGTCTAATCATACTATCTCTCTTGCATTTTTCAGAAAATAAATTTTCCTTGAGAGAAACCTGTTTAAGTGTTTTTGAGCCAAAATCTCTTTACCTCAGAGGAGAGTCATAATATTTCAGAGTTCCTGAAAACACTTCTGAAAGCTGAAAGTACACACACAGTTTCTTTGTGTGACACCTTTCAATGTATCTGTTTTCCCCATCCTGGTGGTTTTTGTATTGTTTTGCCTGAGCAAAGACAACAACAAAGTTGCTCAGTAACAATTTTGTGAGAAGCAAACTAGAGTTCCAGTAACTACAGAAGATACAACAATTTTCACACTGCAAGACACATTTTCGGCTTAAAATGTAAGCTGGCCGAAGGTTGAGGTTCTCCGACACACCTTCTCATCAGCTGAGACACTAAACCAAACACTCATAGTGACTTTCAGTTACCTTGGGCAGTGCCTGGGCTGACTAGTCCTCTCCTTTTCGTGTATCCTGGTCTGAGCAGCCAGAAAAACCCTGGAAAGATGATCTAAAAAAGTTAAAGCTGGTCCTCTGTCCAGAGGACCAGCTTTAACTTTTTTAGATTTTTCTACCTGGATTATTGAGCATGCATCAGGATACCTGGAAAGATGAGTGAACTCAAACCCTCTACACTGACCTTGTAAGGAGTTCAGTACATATTCTGTGTATGCCAGTGATGCGAGTGTAACTTTGGGTCTGGTTATGCCATTTTAGCTGATGGAAACGGATATATCATTTCCTGTCTCACAGTGAAAACAAATAATTTGATCTGGTCCCATTAATTAACATCTCTCAACCAAATTCCAAAGTAAACTATTTGTCAAATTGTTAAACTTTGTCCAAATTTGTGAGTGGCAAAAGTATGTGAACCTCTAGGATTAGCACTTACATTGAAGGTGAAATTAGAGTCAGTTGTTTTCAGAGTCAGAGTCAGTCAGAGTCACAGATTCTTTATTGTCATTCGCACCTCATGTGGTACATGTGGTGGAGCGAAATTATGTACACAGGGTCCCAGTTACATCCAACAATAAAATGTCTAAGAAAAACAGTAATAACATCTAAGATATGAACTAAGAAAAACATCAACTAAATATACACTAAGCACTCATAACATAAAACATTGAACATCAGCACAAACATGAACATGAGTCTGTGTGAGCGGATGTGCACGCATGAACCCATCAACATTGAAACAGATCAGCAGCAACATGAAACAGATCAGCAGCAACATGATGTGATTTTTTTCACAGTGATTATTCTAGTTAGAGATTCATGAGTCTAACAGCCTCAGGGTAGAAGCTGTTCCTCAGTCTAGTGGTTCTACACTTAATGCTCCTCAACCTCCTTCCTTAGGGGAGTGGGGCAAAACGTGTGTGTGCTGGGTGAGTGAGGTCCTTCATGATGCAGGTGGCCCTCTTCCTGCATCTAGAGGTGCAGATGTCTGTGATGGTGGGAGGCTGACTTTGACAGTCTTCTGTGCAGCCTTCACCACTCTCTGCAAAGCTTTTCTTTCTGCGGCTGTGCAGCCTCCATGCCACATGTTGATGCTGGAGCACAGGATGCTCTCCACTGCACACCTGTAGAAGGAGGTGAGTAGTGATGGGGCCGATCCGATCCAGTATCGTATCGGCCTCCAATACCAGCATAATTTACGTATCGGATTTTTCCGATCCACCTGCCGATATTTCCGATCCATGATGCATGTTGGCTTCAAACTACGGAATAGATTTCCTGTATGGTGGCGTGTTTCATGAACCCAGAGTAATAAGACCCACCTCACATTCAGGAAATCCAGTTCATAGTTTGCAGCCAGCTACAACGTGAGGACTGAGTTAGCAGCACTGTTGCTAACAGCTAACAAACTTTTCATCTAAACATGTCCGCTGTGTGGAAGTATTTTACACTAAACACCACAAAACAAGACAGCAATGTGCAATGTCTGCAGAGCCATAGCGCCACATTAAACCGCAGTAAAGTTAGTTTTACGATGGACATTCGAGCTCCGTGGCTTCACCAGGGCGCTACTCTCACTGAACCCACAACTGGCGGCTCGACCCCGGCCAGCCGCGTCCAATCTGCCCCGCTCAGTCTGCCTGTCTCTGAGGAGGGACAAACTGAGCACGGCTGCCCCAAATCAGGCTGCTTGCTTCGGATTGAACAAGAAGAAGACATTGCTGAAACCATGGAGCTCAAATGTTTACAGATAAGTTGCTAAACTTCATCATTAATGACCATTACAACCATTAAGTTGTAAAAAAATAAGGATTTGGGGAGTGGTGGCGCAGAGGTTAGAGAGGTGGGCTTGTGATCCAAAGATCGCCGGTTCACGCCTCGGCCCGGACAACATCAAAAATTGCGGGTGGGGTAGGTGAAACACCCACACTTGCCCCCACCCTTATTCGCCCCACTCTGGGCCCATGAGCAAGGTCCTTAACCCCACCATGTGCTCCCTAAACAGGTCTCTCTTGAAAATGAGTTCTCGTGGCTCAATGAGATTAACCTGGATAAATAAAGGCTAAATGAAAAAAAAAAAAAAATCACAGTTTGATACTTGCATCCAAGATATAGTTTACCCTCCAGAGATATTTATCAGTACAACAGTAGACAATCATAAAAAAAACATATGATTTGAAAATTTTATTAAAAACAAAAACAGCTACATTATAAAGTGATGTAAAATACTAAAAACAGGAACATCTGTTGGTTCATGCCATGACCTTAACATGTGTTTGAAAACATTTAACATTTAATTTAATTTAATTCATTTATTCATTAATTTAAAAGAAAGAAAATAAAAATAAAAACAATCATCAAAAAGAAAACACTGAAGGAAAAGAGTGAAGAAATAAGAAAATTCTTATATATGCCCCTTATTTAAAAAAAATAAAATAAAATAACTTTAAACAATCACTTAAATTAATCACTTTAATATCCACTTTAAAGCTAGGAATAAAAATAACCATGTTTTGTGTTAGCATAATTTAATTCTAACTTTAAAACTTATCCAACATTAATAAAACTTACCTCAAGTTGCCTTTTTGGACATGCATGCATGTACAAATTGTACTTGAGAGGAGATTAATACAGCCTCATATAAAATCATTGATGATGATGATATCGGAACTGGATCGGTATCGACCAATATTCAGACTTAGGTATCGGGATCGGAAGTTTAAAAAAAGTGGATCGGTGCATCCCTAGAGGTGAGGACTGAGCTTCCCAGACCAGTTGGTCTCAGCCGCCTGAGGAAGTAGAGTCTCTGATGAGCTTTCTTGATCAGGCTGGTGGTGTTGTTGCTCCAGCTGAGGTTGTCATTCATGTGTACACCCAAGTACTTGTAGCTGGAGACCACTTCCA